GGGGCGTCTTCTCATTTTTCTTCTCTGAGGTCCAGCTTGGTCACTGTAATTTTACAGTATTTGATTTTGATTGTGTTGTTTTTATTGTTCCTTCCATTTCCGTCGTTGTCATTTAAATTGTTTTTCTGGTTTTGCTTTGCTGTATCAATTCATATTAGGCACTATTTACCTTGAATTTTTGTCTAGTGTTCCACAAGTTCTCTTCACATGAGGATATCAAAAGAACTTGTTCTTATCTTGCTTCCTAAACTAAGGAAGCTTTATGCCCAAGCTGACCTTCCAATTTTCTACAGACTTACAGACTCTATTACTTTGAGACTCTGTTGTTCCCAAAACACAGTGGAACCTGGTCTGTGGTTAGTTACACCTGTCAGCCTTGGAGCCATTAACTCTGTCTTCTTACCTCCACCCTTCCACCTCCTTTGCTCTAAGCATCTAGGGATGAAAAGGAATGCTTAGAACTGGGTAGATTTAATCCATATTCAGGGAGTACTCATCAAGAGTCTATTATGTGCAGAATGCTACTAAAGTAGCCTTTATCTTGCTGCCAAAATAATTTTTCCTTTGCATAGGTTTGGTCCTTCCTCTGCCTCCAAATCTTAAATGCTTATTGCTTACCAAACAAATTTAAAACTCCTCTGCTGGCATCCAAGGTCCTGGTGCTCAACCTTTCTTTCCAGCCTTATTTCACATTAATCTCCTCTGTGTATTCTCATACAAACAAATAACTTCTCTCCTAGCCTCTCTCTAAAAACAAAGCAACCCCAAACCTCTTAAACCTACACACCTGCTCTCTAACCCTTCGAATCAATATTTAGGCTATTTTCTATTTCCTCCTCTTCATCTAGTGAGTTCCTATCCTTTATTGAAGAGTTAAGTCAGCCTACAAAGTACAGAATAACATTTTATAAAAACCTTCCACTCAAAATAAATCTGTGACCTCACAGATTCAGGAAAAGGAGTTCCACCAAAGTAGATCATAACCTATGCATCTTTACCCTTCCAGTGCTCATGTGTTCATGTTCTATAAGTTTAACACAAGAAGCCTTCCTTCTTAATCTTGATATAGAAAGGGTGCCAGTGGAGCAGGCTGTCTGTCCACCTGCCATTCCTCGTTGCCACGTGATCAGCCCATTTTCTTTTCCTATCATATGGTTCCGTGATGATGTTTTTTATTCCTTCTCTTCAGCATTCCTTAATTGTTTCATGTTCCAGACTGCATAAATCCACCATTTGCCTTTTTGTCACTCTCTGTGTGATACTCATTTTTAATTCTGTGGAAACTGTTATATTTCGTCTTACTGCCATAAAGCTTGATCTAGCCTTTGCTTTCATGAGAAGTTTGGGGATTAGTAAATAAGTTGTAGTATCTTGAAGGTAATCAAACCTCTCTCTTCCTTTTTCATTCTGGGCTTATCTTATCCATCTAATGAAGGAATTCTTAAACTTTTTTGGGTCATAGACCCCCTTGGCAGTCTGGTGAAGATTATGGATGCCTCAGAATAATGTTTTTAAATGCATAAATACATAGGATTATGACGGGAACAAGATATATTGAAATACAGTTATAAAAATATAAAAAAAAGTTTATGGACCCTAGGTTAAGGATTCCTGATCTATACTATCTGTCCCATATGTACACACTGCAGGACCAGTTGTGTAGTACTTCTGTATTATACCTCTGTTATACTGGGTTTACATGTGTATTTATAGTACAGATGGTTGTCTATCTGAATGCATGTTGAAATCTAAGCGGTAGATAATTCTTTGTCCACTTGATCTTTCCTGTGTGAATGGACAGGTCAAACACCTTTGATTATAGTTGATTTCTAGGAAGTTCCGCTGTATTCTGGGGCTTAATGAATTCAGCACAGTATCATCCGCATACAGCATCTGGAGGACTTCACCATTGACCAAGAATGCATTTTTTACCAGAAATTTGTGCTAGGTCTTCTATATTGCATTGGCAAATGCATTTGGAGAGCATATGACTTCCTGTTTTATATCTCACCTGATGTTTAATATCAGAGAGTTAATAGTTAGGGTTATTTTGTTATATCTTTCAAGGAATCTTGAATGAATGATTTTGATGTATGGATAGTAGACAACTTATTTTAAAAACCTGTAAGGCAGCTTAAAGAAAAACAAATGCTTTTTCATGACCAATTAAAAAGTGACTCATAAAGATTTTGTATAGATGGGCGAGTAGTTAATAGGTCAGTAGTTATTGTTCATTTGGTTGCTTTAAGAAATTTTTTTGTACTGATACTTTTGTTTTTATATCACATATTTCCCACTCTCCTTCCTTTCTCAAAAATACCCATCTTACAGGCAGCTAGGTGGCGCAGTGGATAGAGCTCCAGCCTTGGAGTCAGGAGGACCTGAGTTCAAATTTGGCCGTAGACACTTGATACTTACTAGCTGTGTGACCCCAGGCAAGTCGCTTAACCCCATTGCCTAGCAAAAAAAAAAAAAAAAAAGAAAATACCCCTCCCAGAGATCTATTCCTTATAATAAAGAATAAAAAGGAGTAAAGAAAAAGTTCAGTAAATCTAGTTCACATATTGAAAAAGTCTGATATTATATGCAGGTCTAACAGCCTAATCCTCTACTGGTAAAGAAGCTAGGTCCTTCCTTTATTTCTATCTTAGGCCCAACTTTGGTCATGATAATTTAATAGTATCTAATTTTAATTTTTTTGATGTTATTCTTTCCATTTACATTATTTTAGTTACTGTATGTTTTCTAAGTTACACTTACTTCACTTTGCTACCATGGGAGTTCATGCCCTCATTACTATCTACCTGGATTATTGATACTGCCTTACACCTTTAGAAGACTTTCTCTCACAAAGCTGTGTGAATTTTTTTCTTTTGCGTAAATCTGGTCATATCACTGCTCAAAATTCTTCAGTAAATGTCAAACAAATTTGAAGTTGTCTGACATTAAAGGCCACCCACAACTTAGCAACACCTTACCTTCCCAACTTTAATTCATGTTTCTTCCTTTCATTCTTCAGTCAAATCCTTTTTCCCCACTAAAATGCAGAACAAGTGAAAAAACAACCAACTCACTGCTTTCTCATGTCTCAGCCTTTGCTAAGCCTGTTCTTTACAATATACATAATGGCTAAACAAGGGCTGGAAAGCCCTCTTTTCTTTTCTTGTATTGTTGAGGGTCAACTTTTCCTTTATTTTATAAAAATTTTTAATCATAAAACTTAATAACCACTTAAGACAAATAATCAATTATATACAAGGAATAACATCTTTTAATTCTTAATTGTGTTGATATTTTTTGTTTCTAAATTACCTTTGTTTTCTAATATAGTCCTCCCTCTTTTCCTGCCCATTGATCTATCCCTTGTAATATAGATTTTTTTTAAGAGGAGGAAAAAAGAGTTTCAGCCAAACTAATCCATATTAATCATATTTTATAGTAATGCAATATTTAAATAATAGATTTTTTTAAGGGATAGATTTAAGGCATGCATTCTTAGGATTTAACAAAATAGAACTAAATATTAACAAATGACAAAAAAGAAATATATTTTCTTTGTGACCCTTAACTGAGTCCTTCTCAAGCTATTCTGTCTTATGTTCTCTTATATATGTATGAGAACAACATACAGACTCATGTATCTAGATGTTCAGTCTTTTTTTCAGTCATGTCCAACTGTTTGTGACCCCATTTGGGTTTTTCTTGGCAAAGATGTTAGAGTGGTTTACCATTTCCTTCGGCAGCTCATTTTACAGATGAGGAAATTGAGTCAAACAAGGTTAAGTGACTTGCCCAGGGTCACACAGCTAGTGTCTGAGGCCACATTTGAACTCAGGAGGATGTCTTCTTGACTCTGGGCTCAGCGCCACCTAGGCGCCCCATGTATCTAGATACATATCTATATTTAGACATTCTGTCTCTTTCTCTCTCCCTCTCTCTCTCTCTCTCTCTCTCTCCCTGTCTCCCTCCCTTCCTCCCTGTCTCTCCCTCCCTCCCTTCCTCTCTCTCCCTCTCCCCTACCTTTCTTTTGAAGTCCAACTTGAATACTACATTCTTTAGGAAGTCTCCTTGATCCCACAGGTTGCTAATGAATGACCTCCCCTTTGAATCCTTGTATAGCACTTTGTTTTTTAATTGCTGACAATGAGAAACTTAGCTGATTTTTAAGTCCAACATTAGTCCAGTAGTTCCTAAGCTAAAAAGAAAGAGAGCAGAAGAGATTGATATTTGCTCAAGAGATGGTCATTAGTGAGGATAGTTGAGTGATAAAGAAGGAAAGAAGTGGTAAGGGAAGAGTGGCAGCTGATAAACATTGCAAATGGAAGGCTAGGGGAACCAGTTAGTAGGGGTTTGATAGAGTATCTAGGGTTAGAGAGAGCTAAATTCAAAAATTCTATTGCTTATTTTTTGTTTCTCTGTTACTTTCATTTCTGAATGTCTCTTCCTTCTCCCAACTAGTGAGCTATCCCTTGTAACAAAAAAGAGGGAGGGGAAAAAAAGGAGTTTGAGCAAAACTAACCAACATATGAATGGAATATGACAGTTTGGCAATGAGAGCAGTGTAGTGGAAATGATAGTGTCAGTATAGGGGAAAGAGTGCTGCATTTGGAATCAGAGCATCTGGATTTGAATGTTGACTTTGCCACTTTGCCACCTGTTTGACTTTGGACAAGTTATTTTATTTTTCTAAGCCTCAGTTTACTCAACTGTAAGATGAGGGGGTTGGACTAGATGATCTGTTCCTAAGGTCTCTTCCCACTCGAAAGCTAGGAGCGTATGCATTCTTCCACACCCATTCCTGCAAAGAAAGGAGAGAGGTGCATTTTGAAAAGGGAAGAAAGTGATAGAAAAAGAAATAGCTAACAAGTGAAATTCCATATACTTTCTGTATTTCTTGTTTTCCTGAAGCCTGTGTTTTGAATGTTGCCAGTTTGTGTTACTGTTGATATACTTTGAGTAGATTGTGAGATGTTTTCCTAAATATTTAATTGGCTTTTCAGGAGAAGAAAAGCAACCTTGTTGATGACCCAAAATGACAAAGCATCCACCAAACAGAAGAGGGATCAGCTTTGAGGTGGGAGCCCAGTTGGAGGCCCGTGACAGATTAAAAAACTGGTATTTTATCCTTTACTTTTATTTTTTTTTCTCTTAAAGTAAAAGGAGATTTGTATGACTAGGTTTTTCCAGAACTGTAGCCAGATCTCTTGCTTGAGTTGTGCTACCCAGTGATGTATAGAAAGACAAAAACAATTTTATTTCAATAGTCTTTTGTCCCCAGAGCTTTTGGTTCACAGATCACTTCAGTAGGGCAAAGAAGGAACTACTAAATCATTTATATCACAACCAGACCACTCCTGTATATCACGTCCAAGAATATCAACTTATTGGTTTCATTGAATGTCCTGTTCTTGTCTTTACCTCATTTGTCTTAAACTGAGTTCATTATCTTCTTCTCCCACACTCTCCCATTCTGATGTTCTCCATTTTTCTTGTTTCTTCAATGGGCAGAGGACAGACATCATCTATTTTTCATAGTATTTAAGTAAAGTAGAGCACTATGATAGGTATTTGTCAGAAGGGAGGATGCAGAGATGAGTAATGATGATGATGATGATGATAACAAACTCATTTACGTGCTGCTTTAAGGTTTGCAAAATGCTTTGCTCATAAAACAAACCTTATGAGGTAGAAAAGCATTATTATTTCTATTGAAATGAAAAAACTGAGGCTTTGATAGATTTAGTGACTAGGTATCATGGATGCCATATCTCAGCTCAGAAGTGTCTGATCCCAGATAGTTTGATGTCACATCTAGCATTCTATCTGGTACAGAATCAAAGCTTCGTAGTTGTTTGTTGTTTGATTGATTATACACTACCCTAGAACCCCTGCTCTTGTGGGTTTACATACTAATCAGGGAATACAACGCATGTATAACACATACACAAACAACTGTAATACAAAATGGAACAATTTGTAAGAGGGCGTACAAACAAAATACTCAAGAGTAGCATAACAGGTGCCCAAGGGAGTCACAACAAAGTGTACTTCAAGGACCTCAGAAGCACTGTAACCTCATATCTCCTTTACTGTTCTGTCAGATTTCCCTGACATCATTTTTTCAAGCTTTAGCCATCAACATTTCCATACTGTTGTTCCTTTTGTTCCTTGGTCTTCCTTCACTTTTATCCCAGGATCCAGACCTAGCTCAGGACATCTAGAAAGTCTTCCCTATTTTACTTAACCTTAACCCTCCTTGATGATGTGTTTTCTTTTGTTTTTCCTTGCTCTTAGATACCTGTTCCTATAGGAAACCTTGATTAACTAGCACCTAGAATTCTAGCATAGTAAGATATTCATAGGAGAAAGCAGATAAGTGAAAAGAATTGGAATTCTGATTTGGAATCAGAGGACCTAGGTTCTATTACAGCTCTGCTATTAACTACCTATGTGATGCTGAACATTGAACTTTCTCTCTCTGGGACTCAGTTGTTTCCTCTGTAAAATCAGAGCATTAAATTAGATGGTTTTTGCTGTGCTTCCATCCACAGCTCTATGATCCCACCTTGATGGGTCCATCAATGATGTCACCTTGATCTTCAGTGGTCATAATCTGAGGTCCACAAGATGGCAGTGTTTCTATTAGAAAATTAGAAATTAGATTAAGCTAATGATCTGGAAAAGAAAGTTGAGTTGGAACTAGGAATTTGAAGTAATTATGAATACCAGAATAAGAGCATATTGTGAGTCTTGATAAAAGTCAGAGAACACTAATTATTTTGCTGTTTAAAAAAAAAAAACTTAGAAGACTGATTTAGCCTCTCAGTAACTGATTTTACAATAAGGTAGCTTTGTTATACTGCATCTTCTATTGATGAAAAAGATGGAAGTAACTGGAAATCAAGTTAACACCAAGAGTATATTCAGCTGAGCAGATTCTAGGGTAAGTCCTATAAATACAAATCTATATTTTTAAATGAAGATAACAGAATTTCAGTTCAAAAGGAAAAACAGGCAAGCAGGACACCTTTGAAAGTACCATGTTGAATTTTTATATAAAAACACTGTTTTTATATAAATACACTATAGATTCAATCCAGTGTTATAAGAACACAATTCAGAATAAGAAAAAAAAAACTTAGGAACTGCTAGAAATATTCAAAAATGGAATGGTCTACTTTTGTGGGGTAGTTCCCTTATAATGGAGGTCTTACCAGAGGTTTGATGTGATTACTTATTCTTGGTGTGGTGGTTAGGATTTGTGATTTGGGTAGGGGTTAGAATAGTGACTTTAGGTTCCTTCGAGTTCTGAGACTATGATGCCATTAACTACATAGTATAATAATTGATCATAATGATGACTCTGAATCAACAAAAGGTTAAATGATCATCAGTGTTCTGTTTCCTATGACAAGGGAGTGATGACTATATTTTACTTTATTTTTAAAAGTTTTATTGATGCCTATTTTTTTTATATCATTTCTTAACAATATACCTTCTATAGAGGGAGCAGGAAATAAACATTCATATAGTGCCTACTATATGCCATATATTATGCTGTGTTTTTATAACTATTATCTCATTTGAACCTTACAACTCTGGGAGGTAGGTGCTATTATTGTTCCAATTTTACACTTGAGAAACTGAGGCAGACAGATTAAATGACTTTCCCCTGGTCATACAGCTAGTACATGTCAGAAACTGGATTTAAACTCCAGTCTTCTTGACTCCAGACTCAGCCACTATTTGCCTCAAGAACTCTTATAACTAAGAAAGCCTTTAGACAGAATCACCTGTCTCAGCAGCTGCATCTGACATTATTAGCAACATTTTACATTTGTAGTTCACCAGCTCTACTAAGAGGAAGAAAACATATTTCATCAGTGGTAAAAGGAATGGTTTTAGAGAAGACTTGGGAAGACTTATATGAACTGATTCAGTGTGAAGTGAGAACCAGAATAGTTTATAGGCTAACAACAATATTGTAGAGACAGACAACTTTGAAAGACTTCAGAACTCTGAGTGTTCCTGACTCCTGATGATAAAGCATGCTGCTTGTGTCCTGACAGAGAGTGGAGAGACTGCACATTGAGACATAACATTTTTTGGATGTGGCCGGTGCTGGAATTTCTTTTGCTTTATACACTCTCTCTATTGATATGTATATATGGATAGATGTATTTGTACAAAGGTTTTTTTTTTTCCCCCATTTTCTCTAGTGGGCAGGAGAGAAAGTAGATTTGTAGATTTGAAAAAGATTAAATTTGGGGGCACAAGGTGGCACAGTGTATAGAGCTCCAGCCTTGGAGTTAGGAGGACCTGAGTTCAAATGCGGCCTCAGACACATGACACTTACTAGATGTGTGACCCTGGGCAAGTCACTTAATCCCAATTGCCTCATCAAAAAAAAAAAAAAAGAAAAGAAAAAGATTAAATTTAATTTTTAAAATACATTTCATTATTGGTTCTTTGGAACCAAGATTAGTCATTCATTTTAATCTGAATTCTAATATATTTCAATATTCGTTTATATTACTGTGGTCATTATATATTTTGTTCTCTTGGTACCTTTTTTTTTCCCCCAGTGAGATCCATATAATTTCTTATGGTATATTGTATTGTTAGGGTGTATTATATTAATGTTCTACAATTTGTATAGCCATTCTTCAATCAATGGGCATCCACTTTGTTTTCCCCCTTTATGCACAAAAATTGATAAACTCTTCATACTCTTTGTCCAGGTGATCCCATTACTGTGCATATATTCCCAGGAGCTCCATTAAATAAAGGTCACCTTTCTTTCAAAACCAAATATGCATAGCAGTACTTTTTGTAGTAGCATCTAATAGAATAAATACTTTTTGATTTTGAATTTAACAAACACAAAAAAAAGAACATTTCCATATATAAAGGACAATAGAAAGAAAGAGGATTACATGTAAAAAATTCCAATCTCTATCATGTATAGCTTGCTTAAAAAAAAAAACAATTAATTCAACATGTCACTTTTTTTTTTGGTTTGTTTTTGCTAGGCAGTGGGGTTAAGTGACTTGCCCAGGGTCACACAGCTAGTAAGTGTCAAGTGTCTGATCTGAGATTACATTTGAACTCAGGTCTTCCTGACTCTAGGGCGGGTGCTTATCCACTTTGCCACCTAGCTGCCCCCAACATGTTATTTCAAAGCTATCCTGCTTCCATCGCTGGCCCCCAAATCATCCCTCCCTCAAAAAGAGAGAAAAACATAATCCTTGTAACAAACATAGTCAAATAAAACAAATCTATGTTTGTTATATCTAAAAATAGGTGTAATTCTTCACCTTGACTTGAGTCAGGAGATGGATGGGTAGCCTACTTTTTTATCCTTTCAAATAGTGGTTAGTCATTGTACTGATCAAAGTTATAAAGTCTTTCAGAGTTGTTTTTCTTTGCAACATTATCATTACTGGTTCTGACTTCACTCTGAATCATATCATACAAGTCTTCTCAGGTTTTTCTGAAACTATCATTTCTTACAGTGCAATAATATTCTATTACATTCATTTACAGTGACTGCTTTCCTGAAATCCCTTCAGCAATAATCATTTTCCTTTTTTTGTCACCTGTGCTAATCTGATAGGTGTGAGAGAGAACATTAATTTGCACATCTCTAATTATTAATGATTCGGAGCATTTTTTAACATGGCTGTTGATAATTTGGATTTCTTCCTTTGAGAACTGCCTGCTCATGTTCTTTGATTAATTTACCTGCTGGAGAATGATGGTCGTTTTTACATAATCAAATCAGGTCCTTTATTAGAACTTTATCAAAGAAACTTGTTTCACAATTTTTTCCCCCAGTTAATTGTTTTTCTTACCATTTTAACTATATCAATTCTGTTTTTGCACACCATTTCAGCTTTATCAAAATTGTCTGTTTTATCTTCTGTAATTCTGTCTATTCCTTATTATTTTCTGCCTTTCCTAATTTGTTTATGATATGACTGTATTTAAGTCATATATCCATTTGCAGCTCAACATGTTTCCAGTATATTTTAGAAAAATTTAAATCACAAAAGATTGAAACTGGTTTGTTCCTTTAAAGCTTTGACTTTGTTATTCAGAAAATTAAGTAAGGCAGGGGTTTGGGCCATGTCAGATTTGTGAGGTTTGTCATTCAGGATACTGAAGTGGCACATGGGGGTAGGTGAGCACACGTAGCCAGTTACAGATAGGGATGGGTTAGGGTTCCACTGAGTTCCAGTTATTACTACATTCTCCTTAACTTGCACAAATGCTGTCATTTTATTATATGTAGGTATTTTCTCCATAGTTAGAATATAAAACTCACTGCCTTGTGTTAATAAATATTTGTCAAATGAAGGAACTCTGGTTTTTTAATGCTCCTCTCTACCCTTCCAGTTTCTAGTCTAATATGGAGTTTTTTTGTTTTGTTTTTTACTGAATTTATGAGGCAACAGAATATTGCAGAAAAAGCAGACTTGGGGAAGACTTGGGTTTGACTTTCTGCTCTGATACAAGCTGTGTGACTTTGGGTAGCTCCTTTCCTTCTTTTAGCTTTACTTTTCTTCATTTGTGAGGGAAAACTACTTTGACTACCGACCTCACAGAGTTGTTAAGAATCAAATGAGACACTTTGTAACCTAAAATTGAGAGGGGGTGTGTGTGTGTGTGTGTGTGTGTGTGTGTGTGTGTGTGTGTGTGTGTGTGTGTGTGTGTGTGAGAGAGAGAGAGAGAGACAGAGAGAGAGAGAGAGAGAGATAGAGAGAGAGATTATTAGGCTTAGGAGCAATACATGCTCCTCTAAATGTAACTATGGCCAAAGGGCTATAAAACTGTGCATACCCTTTGCCCTAGCAATACCACTGCTACTAGGTCTGTGTCCCAAATGAGGTTTAAAAAAAAAAAACCAAAAAGGAAAAGGACCTGTATGTTCAAAAATATTTATAGCAGCTTTTTTTGTTCATGGCAAAGAATTGAAAATTGAGTGGATGCTTATCACGTGGGTAATGGCTGAACAAGTTGTGGTATGTGATTGGGATGGAATATTATTGTGCTATGGGAAATGATGAGCAGAATGCTCTTGGAAAAGCCTGGAGAGCCTTGCACGAGCTGATGCAAAGTGGAATGTAGTGTGTACAAAGTATTGGTAATATTGTGCAATGATCAACTGTGAATAACTTAGCTATTCTCAGCAATATAGTGATCCAAGATAACTCTGAACGACTTATGATGAAAAATGCTATCCATCCCCAGAGAAAGAACTGATGGTGTCTGAATACACATTGAAGCAAACTTTTTTTAACTTTATTTTTCTTGAGGTTTTTTTCTGTTTTATTTCAAAACATGATTATTATGGAAATGTTTTGCATGACTACATGTGTATAACCTATATCAAATTGCTTACCTTCTCAGTGGGGGGGGAGGAAGGGAGAGAATTTGAAACTTAAAAGTTTTACAAATGAATGTTAAAAATTGTTTTTGCATGTAACCGGGGAAAAGTAAAATACTAAATAAAAATTTTTAAAAAGCTAAAAAAATATAAAATTTTTGTACAACTCAAAGTTAAGGGGGAAAGAAGTTAACTGGGAAAAATTTGCATTAAACACTTGAAATAAAAATGTGACATTTAAGTTATAAGGAACTGACAAATCTTATTTTAAGTGAATTTTTAACCATCATGGAGAAATCTTTATTTTACTTATAAATATACATACACATATATACATCTGTTTTTACATTTATTTTCTCAATTACATGTGAATAAAATTTTTTAACATTCGTTTTTTAAAGTTTTGAGTTCCAGATTCTTTTCCTCCCCTTCTTGAGAAGGAAAGCAATTTGTTGTAGATCATATAGTTCAGTCATTAAAAACATTTCCATATTAACCATGTTGCAAAAGAAAACACAGACCAAAAAAACCCTAAATAATAAAGTAAAAGTGTGCTTCAATCTGTATTCAGACTCCATCAGTTCTTTGGAGATGGATAGTCCTTTGGAATTATCTTGGATCATTTTCTTGCTGAGAATAGCTAAGTCATTTACAGTTGATCATCTGTGATAGATGATTAATTGGACCCCTATTTTATTCCAGTCAGTATAATCAGTTTGATATGATTCCATAGGGGTAGTGATTATAAGTTCTGATATTAGGCCTCAGAGCTTTGAACTGCATATTGTAAGTTTACTTGCTTAATCATATAGGAAGCTAACTAGAGGACCTCTCCCATTATTTTTCCTTGTTAGGGTATCCAGGCCTAGTGTGACAGAGGTGACTCAATTACATGGAAAGTCCCCCAGCTATATTTGTTGCCCCTCCATCCCTTGTCATCCCTCTATTGCCCAAGTGACTCTGGTTGCCAGCCTGTGGCCTGCCCTTCTACCAACCTAAATTGGCCCTTGTAGATGTTTTGACATCTGCTCATCAGCCCAACTCCGTGAGCCTGCTCATTGACTTTGGTAGGACCTCCTGGAAAGTCAAGATAGGTCTGTTAAGGTCTGCTTGGTAGGCCGTTTGTCAGCCAGTGAGATTCTGTATTTTGTGTAGACCGTCTTGGAGAGTCATGGGCGAGGTTTATCCACCAATCAGAATCTGTATTTTTGGCCTGCTCTGCCTGTACTATCCAGGTACCAAGCACTATAAAACCAAGCCTCTGGAGAAAGGAAACATCTCAAGTCATTAGGAAGATCTCAGGTCTACTTGCCTACTTCATTAGAGGGGGCCATGGACCCTTTAATAAAGTGCCATTGGCTCAGAGCTCTGCCTTAGTGATTTTTCTTGCACCTTGGACAATTTTGAAAATCTTCACACATCATACAGTATTGCTGTTACTGTGTACAGTGGTTTTTCTGGTTCTGCTCATTTCACTTTGCATCAGTTCATGTAAGTCTTCCTAGTTTTCTCTGAAAGAATCTTGCTCATTATTTTTTATAGCACAATAGTATTCCATCACAATCCTCTACCACAGCTTGTTCAGTCATTCCCCAATTGGTGGGTATCCCCTCAATTTCCATTTCTTTGCCACTACAAAAGAGCTATTGTAAATGTTTTTGTATATATAGGTATTTTCCTTTTTCTTTGATCTCTTTGGGATATAGACCTAGTAGTGGTATTGCTGGGTCAAAGGGTGTGCACAGTTTTATAATCCTTTGGGCATAGTTCCAAATTGCTCTCCAAAAAGGCTGGATCAATTCAGTAGTATATATTTTGAATATTCTAATATTAAATAGTGTTCTATTACTTTAATTTTTAAAAATAAAGTTTTTTTTCTTTTGACTTAGGTATCCAGCTCATATACAGGAAATTGACTATGAAGAAGGGAAAGTACTCATCCATTTCAAACGTTGGAACCATCGTTATGATGAATGGTTCTGCTGGGACAGTCCTTATTTACGTCCATTAGAGAAAATACAGTTAAGGAAAGAAGGGTTACATGAGGAAGAAGGATCTTCTGTGAGTAGAAAATTATGCATTTTGTGAGCTTTCATTCCTGGAACATGCTAATTGCTAGCAAGTTGGCAGTATATGTTGACCCTTGGACTAGTCCAAATAACTTGCTAAAGACGCAATATCTCCTATATTCCTCTTTTTGATCCTGAGACTGTTGGCCACATTTTCCCCAAATTCAAATGTTGTGGTTGATAAAGTACATCAGATGGCCATTTGAGGTTCATGATGTGGAATATAGCTTCTAAAAAGTTTTAAACAAACTCTTGGCTGTCTATATTAGTAGGGAGGCAGGCACACCCTAAGTGTTTCACTTCTGTAGACAATTCTCAAAACTCATTTTAGCCAAAAGCTTTGGTCGTCTTCCTGAACTCTTGTCATGAGTCCTAACTGATATCATGGGTGATTGATTTTCACCTCTTTACTGTTGTTTTATTTTTCAGTTAGAAGTGAAATGACCATAAGGTGAAAGGCACTTATTTTATCCCTATTAAGTATTTTAAAATCCCTAACATTTTTATAATGCTTTGAATTTTCAAAGGCCTTTATTATTTCGTCTTATTGAGGTCACATTTTTGGGAAGGTATTATCTCCATATAATAGGTGAGGAAACTGAGGGACAGAGTGGTTATAACTTGCCTAAGGATAACATCGTTTAATAGCAGAGTAAGGACAAAAGCCCAAGTTTTTAGGTTCTTGGACCCATGTTCTTTTGCTGAAGACTTGTTTATACTATCATTTATTCATTCATTAATTATTTGTTGAGTGCCTATCATGAAAAAGTTCCTTTTTCTAGAGTCTTTTTTAGGAACATTACCAGACCTTGAGTAGATTTATATTGATTATGTTTATATTTCTAAATGCTAATGCAGTGCATAGAGCTGTACAGAAAAAAGTGAGAACAGTCTTTGAAACTATTATTGCAGTAATTAGTAATAGTATTATAAAGGTCCTGGGAATTATTCTTGTTATTAGCAGCAATAATAGCAGTGATGGTAAACTTTGAAGCAGTAAATTATCCATGGTGCTAGTGATATTTTAGGGAGTCAGCTTTGGGTTCTGTTTCTAGCTCTGTTTCCTGACTGGGCAAGGAATTTACACCCTCTTTTTCATTATCATCACTTAACAATGCAGTTGGAATTTCTGACCCATCTCTAACTTAAAAGGAGGTTTTAAGAATTGATAAGAGCATACATAGTTTTCACATTGAAAGGGACTTAAGTATCATCTTTTTACAGATGAGGATACTGGGGACCATAGAGGTTGCATAACTAGAGTTAGAGTCATACAACTAGGGTCAGAGTCCAGAGCTGGAATGCTGCGAAATGATTCATTTGGAGAAAAGGTATTATATAACTGGGGTTTCTTCTGTTAATGCTATTTCTCTCAAGCTGAAATAGATTGGCTGTCCTGAAGCTTTTAGACATATTTTACAAAGTTAAGATTAGAAGTGTAAAGTGATTATTTAAAAGCACTTAAGCAGTATTGTTGAAATGCTACACACTGATCAGTTGTGTTGGTAACAATCTCTTATTTTTGTAGGAATTTCATATAAATGAGCAGGTACTTGCTTGCTGGTCTGATTGTCGGTTTTACCCAGCCAAAGTCACTGCTGTTAACAAGGATGGTAAGATATAATTATTTGTTTTGCTGGTATGGTTGACTTTAAATTTCACTCTTTGGTTGAGGTATAAGGGAGTTAGAAAGAATAGAAATAGATTGTGATTCTCAGCAAACATTTACCTCCAAGATATCTCCTTTCCTTTTTCCCATCTCTAAAATACAGGTGGGTAAAAGAGGAAAGTGTGAGGAATATAAAGCCCTTTATCCCAGGTTAAACTCAAGCTTGAGAAGTGGATGAGATGGTTCGACTATTGCTGTTTAAGTGGGAAATTCATACATCTCCCTATGTAGCCAAAACAATTATAGGGCACTAAAAACAGTTTGGATTTAGGAGTCAGAAAACCTGGATTCCAGTCCTTGATGTCCCATAAACTCACTTGTGCTCTGGGGCAAATGATTTTTCTTAAGTTTTTCCTGTTTTACTGTTTCCTTTTGCAAAATGAGGGGATTGAATTGGATAATCTCCACTATCCCTTCACTCAATCAACAGATGTTTATTAAGCACATACTATGTGTTAGGCCCAAAATGAAAAGGTTCCTGGCCCTTAAGGATCTTACATTTTTGGAACTGATAACATGTTCATAAATAATATTTTGGGAGGAAAGACATGAGGATCTGGGGGGAATTAGGAAAGTCTTCATGGAAAATGTGTTCCCTGCCAGCTTGAATAATAAGTGTCCTATGATTTGTTACATTGGCCAGGTCCTCCTTCCTCAGAAGAATGGGACTGTACCAAACAGCTTTTAGTAGTTATTGAATTGTATGATTCTACCTTTGGGTTTAAGAAGCATGTAAACCAAGGAGAGCTACTATTACCCTTGTTTGAGGTAGACCATAGGATCATAGATTTAGAGCTAGAAGGGACCCTACAGGGCATTTAGTAGAATCCCTTCATTTTACAGGTAAGGAAAGTGAGGCACATAGTAGTTAAATGACTTACCTAGGGTCAAAGCTAATCATGTCTTCCTGATTCCAGGTCCAGTACCCTATCCACTGTGTCATACTGCTTAAGGTTTTGATGGGCAAATGCTTTGAAGCCACCCTTGCTGTCTAATTTTATCTAAAAATAATCCAAACTTGTTTTATAACTTTATGTATATATCACGTTAATCTAAATTCTGCCCTTATTATACTTTTAAAAAGACACACTTATCTAATTAGATGTATTATTCTTTCTTTAGCACAGTCTCCATTATTAAGCATCTTTTCCCTTTTCTTTTAATTATGTGTTTCAGAACAGTTTCACATTTAACAAAATGATGTTTTTACAGATGAAATTTGGATTTTAGTTTGCTATTGTATGAACTGATTGACTTTGGAGCAAGTCATTCTGGAACTCAGTTTCCCCCTTTGTAAAATTAGGACTTCAAATTAGATGACTTTTGAGGTCAACTCTAGCCCTAGCACAGTGATTCTTTTTTTTTTTTTTTTTTTTTGGAGGGGTTACAAATTTTCTCACTTCCACCCTCCCCATCCACCCTCATTGAAAAGGCAGGCAGATACGGGTTATAGATGTGTAGTCATGCAAAATACTTCCATAGTAATCCTGTTGTGAAAAACTAAGTATATTTCCCTTCATCCTATCCTAACCCCCATTTATTCTATTCTCTCTTTTGACCCTGTCCCTCCTCAGAAGTGTTTGCTTTTGATTATCCCCTCCCCCAATCTGCCCTCCTCTCTATCAACCCCCTATTCTCTTGTCCCCTTCCCCCCTTATTTTCCTGTAGGGTAAGATTGATTTCCATACCTCATTGTTCATGTTATTCCCTCCTTAAGTCAAATCCTATAAGAATAGGATTCACTCATTCCCTCTCACCTTCCCCCATTTCCCCTCCACTGTAAAAGCCTTTTCTTGTCTGTTTCATGTGAGATATTTTACCTCATTCTACTTCTCCCTTTCTCCTTCTCCCAGCATAATCCTCTTTCACCCCTTAATTTTATTTTCCAGATATCATCCCTTCATCTTCAACTCACCCTGTGCCCTCTATCTATCCATACATACATATATTTTTTTTCCCTCCCACTACCCTAATACTGACAAAGGACACATGAGTTACAAATATCATCTTTCCCTGCAGGAATGTAAACAGTTCAACCTTAATAAGTGTCTTATGATTTCTCTTTCCTGTTTACCTTTTTCATGTTTCACTTGGGTCTTGTATTTGAAGGTCAGATTTTCTATTCAGCTCTAGTCTTTTCCACAGGAATGCTTGAAAGTCCTCTATTTCATTGAATGACCATTTTTTACCCTGCAGAATTATACTCAGTTTTGCTGGGTAGGTGATGCTAGGTTGTAGTCCTAACTCATTTGCCCTCTGGAATATCATACTCCATGCCCTCTGGACCCTTAATGTAGAAGCTGCTAAATCTTGTGTTATCCTGATTGTGTTTCCACAATACTTGAATTGTTTCCTTCTGGCTGCTTGCAAAATCTTCTCCTTGACCCAGGAATTCTGGAATTTGGCTACAGCATTTCTAGGAGTTTTCCTTTGGGGATCTCTTTCAGGAGGTCATCAGTGGATTCTTTCAATTTGTATTTTGCCCTCTGGTTCTAAATTCTCAGGGCAGTTTTCCTTGATAATTTCCTGAAAGGTGATGTCTAGGTTCTTTTTTTGATCATGGCTTTCAGATAGTCCAATAATTTTTAAGTTCTCTCTCCTGGATCTATTTTCCAGGTCAGTTGTTTTTCCAATGAGATATTTCACATTCTCTTCTATTTTTTCATTCGTTTTGATTAGTGTTACAGTGCCTTGATTTCTCAAATTGTTACTAGCTTCCAATTTCTCCATTCTAGTTTTTAAGGAAGTATTTTCTTCAGTAAGCTTTTGGACTTCCTTTTCCATTTGGCCAATTTTGCTTTTTAGGGCATTCTTCTCCTCATTGGCTTTTTGGACCTCTTTTGCCATTTGAGTTAGGCTATTTTTTAAGGTGTTATTTTCTTCAGTATTTTTTTGGGTCTCCTTTAGCATCACTGTCAGTTTTTCCTCTACTTCTCTTACTTGCTTCTCAAAATCCTTTTTGAGCTCTTCCATGGCCTGGGACCAATTCGTATTTTTCTTGGAGGCTTTGGATGTAAGAGCTTTGACTTCATTGTCTTCTTCTGGTTGTATGTTTTGATCTTCTTGTCACCAAAGTAAGATAATATAGTCTGACTGTTTTTGCGCTGCTTGCTCATGATATCAGCCAATTACTTGAGTTATAGACTCTTTGTTAAGGTAGGAGTCTGTTTCCAGTGTGGAGAATGTACTGTCCCAAGCTTCAGGGGTTTTGTGCAACTGTTTTCAGAGATACTTCTAGGGGCCTGTACATTTTCAGTTCTTTGAAGGTGCTGTGATCAAGGGTGAGATGTTTACTCCTTTCCTGTCCTGTGCTCTGGTCTATGAGCACTCTTTTCTGTCTTGGAACTGTGAGGGGGGTTTCCTCTCCACAGCCTCTACAAGCTGCACCACGCCAGCGCTCCTTCTTGCCCCAAGACCGCCACCCAGAACTGTGACCCAGATCCAGGCATGGGCAAAGCAAGAGATTCCTGCCTCAGCACAGGCAAAGAGATCCTTGCAATCCTCCTGTGATCAGCCACTCGATTCCCCCTCAGTCTGTGGTCTGGAAGCTTAGGAGGCAGCCACAGCCAGCGCTTGGGACTTGAGACTGAGACCTGGTTTCTCTCTCACCAAAGTCACAGACTTTTCCCACTAACCTTCTAAGTTGTCTTTGGCGTTCGTGGGTTGAGAAGTCTGGAAACTGCCACAGCTGCCCGCGTGATTCAGTCCTCTGAGGCCTGCTCCAGGTTCACTGCAGCTTGTGCGCCCACGCCAAACTGCGCTCCTCTCCCCGCCTGGCGCGATGTACCTTTCTGATCAACTATTCAAGCTGTCTTTGGCTGGAAATTTGTTTCACTCTGTCTTTCTGTGAGTTCTGCTGCTTTAGAATTTGTTCAGAGCCATTTTTTATAGGTATTTGTCGGAGTTTGGGGGAGAGCTCAAGAAAGTCACTGCTTTTACTCCACCATCTTGGCTCTGCCCCTCACAGTGATTCTCAAAGTGTAGTCTGGTGACCTTTAGGGGGTCTCTGAGGTCAAAACTATTTATAAAATACTGCTAACATGTTTTAACTTCTAATATGGTAAATGTTGATAGATATAACCCACATAAACAAAAGCTCTTTGGGAAGTCCAGTAATTTTTAAGAGTATAAAGAATCCTGAGACCAAAAAGTGTGAGGACTGTTACCCTAACCACATAGAGGGGAGGTTTATAAAACATTTTATGATGGTGATGGTTCTCATTGTTAATAATTCATTTGAACCCATAATAATATATGATGCTATAAAATGGGTTAGTTTACTTTGTTTTCTAAGTTCTGATTTCTGCCAAATAGGTTTCCTTTAGATAACTTGTAAGACCTAACACAAATAGAGGAGACATTTGGCTTAGAATAGGCTGTTATGAAGGGCTATTGTCTGGAATCCTGTAAATTCATTAGTATCCTCCCAGTGAATGAGAGTGGGGAGGTCTCAGTAATGTTGGGGATTACTGGAAGGTGAATAGCCTTTTTATTGAGGGTCTTTACAGGGAAGTAAAGACATAGTAGGTGGGAAAACAGTATCTGGGGGCAGTTAGGTGTTTCAGTGGGTTGAACATTGGCCCTGGAGTCTGGAGGACCTGAATTCACATCACTTACTAGCTGTGTGACCCTGGGCAAGTCACTTAACCCTGATTGCCTCAAAATAGAACAGCAGCTGGGAAATAAGAAACAGAAATGTAATTTAGGGACCACATCTGGGGATGTTATTGGTAGTTTTTGGTTTTGACTTAGATAATGACTATTTAGACATCCTACTGAAAATAATTCTGTTAATTTGGGGAAATTTTGATTTAACAGGTGTGATTCAATTAATACATAACTAAACTTTGAAGTAGGTCAGTGACTATCTGGGGGTTGTATTTCTCTCTGTTACTGATTTAGACATTGTGCTACTGTGATTTAGTTTCATTTGTCACATGGGTA